AATTTTTTTTTGTTTAAATTTGTTGAAATTGACCCCCTATATAACGCTTTCTTTTTTATCAATATATTATAAGGGGTGTTTTTTGGGGGGAGGGAAACACGAAATTCGAGAGGATTGCACTTGACCACTTCCTACGAAAAAAAAATGCCACGAGGAGAAGCGTAACCTTAGCAACGTAAGGGATGGATTAACGGACCGGAAGTGACGTTTCCCGTCGACCAGCCTCGTCCTCGATAGCGTCACGTGATCTCTTCCACTGCCCTCTTACGTAATGCATTGATTGGTTTCTCATGACGTCCATTTGTCTCTATTTGGAAACAAATAATGATCTTTCACCCAAGTTAAGTTTCGTGTGAATTTTTGCCTCCATAAATATCAGCCAAATACGTAAAAATTGCCAAAAATATCTTTTAAAATATTCGTTGTTAATTTTAATGATGTAAGAGGAGGAATTAGCATCTGTGATGGAGAAATTGTGCCACGAAAATCTTTAGAAGTTGTTTGTGTTTTTTTGAAATTTAAATAAGAAGCAAAGCATTTTTAGAAGATAATTAATAGTTAATAGAGCTGATCGATGTGAAAAAAGAAGAAAATACACTTTTTTTTTAATATATTTTGCAATTCCATAGGTAAAACAGATAGGAAGTAGAAAGAGGAAAACGTTGTTCCATCCGGAGAGAAACAACGGGCCACTTGTGATGTATTCCAGCTGTTGCCGTATGCCTTTGCCTCTTCCCATTCCCAAATGATACTTTCTGACGGTTACCTAGGAAACCAGTTGAAGAACCCCAACCTTCTTTGAGAAAGCAGCTGCAACTAGGAATAATTTACATTTCTGTCATGTAGACGGCCAAATTATACCCGAAATCGAGGATATTCCGAATATACAATAACACCAAAAGATGGTTCCTAATAAAGTTTAAGTTCAAATATTTCGTTTACGTCTAAAGCTTTATCGTTTAAAAAAAAAAAAGTAATTTTTTTGTGCTTGACATATTTTAGTTTTGCAAAGTGGAATCGATCCAATCCTTCAAATGTGTAACTTTCCCTTCTCTCGAATACTATCGACTCCGTAAATTAGCCGAGGAGGAACTTTGATTTAGAATTCGTAAAGCGCTGGATCCTCTAAAAAAATTTGCACAGAATTCTTAATCTCTGGCATCGACTTTAACAACAGCCTGTAAAGTATAATGCGTGAAGGACAGATTGCATACCTACTGATGCGGATCCTCCCGAGTATCGTGCGTTTTTTTTTTAGTTTCTTTCAGATTTTTTTGTTGTTTACCCTCTTTGCGTGCGTTTTCTAAGTAAATAGACGTTAAAATTACGTAACGTGCGCCGAAAATTGAATAATTCCATACGTTAGGAGGGTGCAAAATTTACTAGAGGTCAAGTTCAGATCATCAAAAGTGTCGAAGATCGATTCGATGGTTTGGAGTGATCTTCAGCTAGGTCTTTTGTCACTATTGTCATCCTCTCGTCAAACATTAACGACGATTAATTACATTAACGAGGAAATTATGGAGTATCTTGCAGCGAAGTGCACAAATTAGCTTAATGAATGCCAATAATATTAAACGATCTTGGCATGGATGTCATCGACATCTTTCTCTGAAAGGTAATTAAGCGTCTGAAACCATTTCCTTTTGGAAAACTGCTACTCGGATATTTTATTTTGCATATTTACACACACAAGCACACACACACACACCACTCGTTTATTAATTTACATGGTTTCATTATATTAACCTTCAAGAAATTTTGAACGTGAGGAAATCCAATTCTTGGCATGGTCTAAATTCTTCCATCAACAATCACTTAAGAGTGGAAGTGAGGTATGATTTTGTTTTTGTTTGAAATTAATTTTACAGAATTCTTTTACGGTTATTTCAAGAATTTACTAAGAATTCGAGTTTTAATTGTTGCAATGAAAGGCAAGTAAACAAATCGGTGATGAAGAAGCAAAGAGTAAATTAGCAGATAGAAAGATGGAGGCGTCTTCGCAGATTAGACCAAAGCTTTGACTCTGTTCGTCTTAATGATGCTTTTGGGAATGCTGTTCCATCTTCCTTCCTCTTATTTGTCCGACTCTTTCATTTCGAGGTCCACCAATGGATCAATAACTGACCTCTTTCTTACCAACTTTATCTCAATGAATTCTCCTCTTTCTTTCCTTTCTTTTAATTACAATTTAATATATGTTTTTTTTAAAATTATCATTGATTTTATCATGAAGATTTTAAGTTTCTACCTGAGTGAGTACTTATTTTCAGTAGGTACGTACTCGGAATTAGGTATTCACTAATACCTACTTCTAAATGAGCACTAGAGTAGGTAGGTGATCACTCAGATCTACTGTGAGTAACAGAAGGTTGGTAGATGCTCGCTCAAATCTATCTGTAAGAGAAGGTAGGTAGGTGCTCCCTCAGATTTATCTGTAACAGAAGGTAGGTAGGTGTTCTCTCAGATCTATCTGTAACAGAAGGTAGGTAGGTGCTCGCTCAGATCTATCTGTAACAAAAGATAGGTAAATGCTCCCTCAGATCTATCTGTAACAGAAGGTAAGTAGGTGCTCCCTCAGATCTATCTGTAACAGAAGGTAGGTAGGTGTTCCCTCAGATCTATCTGTAAGAGAAGGTAGGTAGATGCTCCCTCAGATCTATCTGTAACAGAAGGTAAGTAGGTGCTCCCTCAGATCTATCTGTAACAGAAGGTAAGTAGGTGCTCCCTCAGATCTATCTGTAACAGAAGGTAGGTAGGTGCTCGCTCAGATCTATCTGTAAGAGAAGGTAGGTAGATGCTCCCTCAGATCTATCTGTAACAGAAGGTAGGTAGGTGCTCGCTCGGATCTATCTGTGAATAACAGAAGGTAGGTTGGTGTTCATTCAGATCTATTTGTGAGTAACAGAAGGTAGGTAGGTGTGTCCACTCAGATATACTCGCAAATAAGTACCTACTTTTAATAGGCATTCATCAGTGATAAGAAGTCGATACGTGTCTTAAATTTTAATTTTTCATAAAAATTAAGTTTTGAAACGTTTTAAAATTAAATTTTTAACTTTTATTTTCGAACTAACGTTAAGTTTTTTTTTTTTTTACTATTTTGACTGCCAGTTTGAGATTTTTTTTTATAGAAGCCGAATTTTAGTGTAATTTGATAGAAATTTCCTTAACAGGAATTCAATTTTTGAATTTTTTTTTTAAATATAAATTTAGTTTTCGAGAGTTTTATTTAAATATAAATCGAAATTTTGAAATTTTTTTTTTTTTTTTTTGCTATTTCTAGTACAGAAATTAAAGAATCTGTCGGTACTTACAGTCGCCATCTATCGTTAACTTTAAGAACTATATTATTGCACGTGTAATCACAATTATCGAGTTTAAAACAATAGAAACGATGTTACGATAATTTTTTTTTTTTAAAAAAAGGGGGTAATAAAAAATATCGTTATTTAAACCAAATCATCTGCACTTTACGTAAATAAATACGAAAAACTCATGAAAGTTTTACTTACTTCGCTTCCATTAGCACTTGTCAGCTTTAAACGTTTTCCAGCCTCTTCTCCCCTTTAATGCTGTCTACGTCATCGCTACAACATTCTTTGTGTTCATTTACAACTTTCCTTAAAGAAATAACCGGAAATGACCTGACTTGCAACGTTTCCGACTAAATTGTGCAATAACTCGAGTCCAGACACACGTGGCGCCATCTAGGAACAATTTTCGCTTAAAATAAACACGTTAATTAAAAGAAAAAGAAAAATTGTTTAGAAAATTACAGTTTATAATTTTAAAGCCATATTAATATTTACAAAATATTTTATTACTCTACAAATCAAAATTACAAAGTAGAAAACAAAAATTAAATTTCATTGTATGCGTGTTATGGCGCTGATTACAATTGGTTAATGTTAATAAAGTAAAAAATATTAGCTTGCACATATATAAATATTAATTATTCGCCGAATTAAATTAATATTAAAACGTACAAAAAATTATTCGATTATTGATTATTTCACAAATATTTTAAATTTTAAAGAATTGTCAACAGATGGCATAAATTACCAAATGCCAAATTGTTCTCGATCGTTAAACTTTATAGCCAAATAATAGCAATTCCGTATAATCTGGCAAACATTTTTAATTTTAATAATAGACAAATAAAAATTTAAAATTTTTAAAAATAGAAAGAAAAAAAAGCTTCATATCACAATTTTCATTATTTTAAGCAAAATATTTTTTAAAAATTTTATTTAAGCATCAACAAAAATTGAGCAAAACACAAAAATAAAAAAATAATTACTTTAAAATATTCTAAGATATTATTTGATAAATAACAACAAAAAATTATTTTGACTAGTTAAACAATGGACAGTGGAATCACTTTCACTAAAATTTTATAAAATATTAGTATTTTTAATTCTTCCCATAGAAAATTATATAATTTTATTCATAGAATATAATCTCTTATTTATATACATTTTATCAAAATAGTTCTTAAAATGCAGAATTTGATCGACTTTGCACGTATACAAAACTTCCTCAGTCACCCGGTTTCTCCGCCTCCTCCTGTGGAGGTGGAAGCGAGACTTCCGGATCCAAAACTTTGGTCTTCTCGTCTCCATACACTGCCAAAATAAAATTGAGAACTGTTACATTTTGGCACTTGATTGTAATCTACACACACTTAAAATGGTTTCGAATATCCATAAAAATGAATAAAAAATAATTTTCTTGGAGTGAATTTAAACAAAGTCTAAGAANATAACACTGTTGATAATTCCGTTTTATATGAATTCCATGTTGTACGAGTCACTTAGATTTTACAAATACGTGAGTCGTTTACAGCCCAGCACATGTATTTGTAAAATCTAAGTGACTCGTACAACATGGAATTCATATAAAACGAAATTATCAACAGTGTTATGGGGGAGTCGACTGTAATATTTTAAAAAATTGGCTTAAAAAAAGCAAGTACTGTACAATAAAACCTGTGTAAACCGGAATTACGCGGTATACCCAATACACTAGTTTAGGTAGATTTTTAACATAGAAAATTCCTCCATTACGGAGAATTTTGTCCGTTTTATACAGGTTTCGTTTTAGACAGGTAGTACTGTACTTTATATTATAAATTTACATTTCTACCCCAAGAAAATAATAGAAATAAACGAAGAGGTTGTCCTTTTCTAAAGAAAAAACAAAGTTGAAGTTACGCTCTTTTTAATAAGACAACGAGCAAGTTAAAGTTAACCTTTACTAAAAGTGACTTACGGGGGTTACGATTTTCTTCGTTTATTTTCAAAAAAATTTCGAAAATTTATAGCAAAATAAAATTTATTTAACAAACGTCACGTTACATTTATTTCATTCTATTTACAAAAAAACAAGAAACAAAAAAAAAAAACACAGCGTAACAGTAAATAGTTTTGACTTAGACATGATGCGAAGTGACGCAAAATGCATCATTGTAAAAAAATTCCAAAGCACTTACTATAGAACTATACGTCTTTATTATATTTTAGGGGGCATAAATCAATTGTTTAGAGGGTCTTTATTATATTTTAAGGGGTATAAATCAATTCTATACTAACAATTACCCTTAAGAAGGTATCCAAGGATCCATTTTCCATATATTCCGTTACGATCATAACAGGATTGCACTTAGTGACTACACCTTGCAGATATATAACATTGGGGTGATCAAACTGTCCCATTATGCTGGCTTCTGTTAAAAAATCCAACTTGGCTTTCTCTGATGAACCCGGTTTAAGGGTTTTAATGGCAACCGTCACGTCCATCCACCCCGGAATCTTCAGACTTCCTCGACACACATCACCAAATTCACCTTGAAAACATGCAAAAAAAGGATGAATTTTTTAATGTATTCTCGAGTAAGCGATGTTATAAAGGGGTTTTTTCCTTTTTTTAGTGTCAATAAGCTTCATTACCTCCTCCGATAATAGCCTCTATTGTAATATTGGATGCATCGATTTCTTTTGTAAACTGCAACACTGCTTGATTAGGATCTTCGTAAGTGTGGGGGTCAATGTATGTCCTGCTCGAGCTGTACACGGGGGTGGCTATGTACGTCATCACTGTAACAGTTAAAAAGAAATCAGTACAAGTATACGAAATGACCGATGTTTTTTTCTTTTTTTTTGCCGTTTAGTACAGAAGAGAACACTTACTTCGTGTGTTAGTAGCTAAAGAATCCACGGGAGGTAACACTAGTACAGGGAGGAAGTATTTTTAGAAGAGAGTAACACTCGAAAGCGTAACCGAAAGTGCGCTTACCTTCACCGTTTCTGTTATATTCTAACGTATCGCAGTCGCTAGGTTGCTTCTTGTTACACTCGTCACTATTTCTGTAAGAGGGGGGCGAAGTTAGGTGAGTTCAAAGGTCGATAAATTTACAACCGTTACAGATAACAAGTGCTAATTTACCTTCTGACGTATAACACAATCATGACTATGACGACGATGATCAGCATGGTAACTGCTACAGTAGTACCAGCTATAATGCGTACCTGAACTTGTTCCTCGTCGCCGATTAATGCTGTAAAAAAAGGGCACACAAAAAAAAAGCACAATTTACACCTATTAAAAACACTAAACTCGTGTAAAAAAACACACACACAAGTTCTTTTTTCGACGTAGAAGGCTAAAAAAAAATCAAAAAATCTTAATAGATTTTTGTCTTTTTTAATCCATAAACTATTTATTTAAAGTTAGAAAACAATACAAACTTAATAAACAGAAGGAAATAAAAAGAAATTTTTCTGAAAGTTATTGAAACAAGAAAGAAAAAAAAAAAAAAAACCGGGGAAAAAATTTCCTCCTGCCAGAGAGGTATTGGGTATGCTGCTACAGAAATAATCAATATTGTGCTTGCTTCAGATAATAGATGTGTCTGTTAGACATTGCTGGCTTCTTTGTTTTGTGTTTGCTGATAAAGTTTGTAACATTAGGCCCTATACAGCTCTTTCATGTTACATGCTTATTACCTGGTGTTTTCTGTAGTCAATAAACTCACCTGTGCTACCGACAGTTTGACCTGTTTTCGTATAAATTGGTTTACTGTATTCGCCCCAGCCTTTAGTTGTTTTCGTTCTCACCTAAATTACACACACACAAAAAAATAATAATAATTACATTAATCTCGTTTCCTTTATGTACACACCTCTACCTTACACCTAATTATATAATGCTTAATTATATAAAATCAGATTGTAATTTGTGAAAATTACTCATTTCTTTTTAGAACTGTGTTTAATCCTTTAAGGATTTTTGTATAAAATTCCTTAATTAATTAATCTTATAATAAAATAATTACGTTAATCTTCTACGCACTAATTTTTATTTGTGAGTACACGAAAAGTACCTAAAATTATACTAATTTTAAACATACATTACACTACGAGTGTACTTATTTTAAAGGTACACTACACCACGAATGTACACTCTTCAAAACGTACGCTATACCACACACGTACACTGCTTTTAAACCACGAATTACACTACTTTAAAGGTGCACCAAACCACGAATTACACTACTTTAAAGGTGCACTAAACCACGAATTACACTACTTTAAAGGTGCACTAAACCACGAATTTATACTCTTATAAAGGTGCAACATACCATATACGTACAGTACACTGCTTCTAAACGTGCATTACATCACAAATGTACAGTACACAACTTCTAAAAAGTGTAAAACATCACAAGGAAATTCCCTTTCCTTGTCATTCGAATGCATTCGAAGTTTTTAAAAATATTTCCAAAAAAATAAAGTTTTCTTTGATGTAACACGTTAAATAAGTCGCAAAATTTATTGGAAATCATCAAAAAGTTGACACTACAAACTTTAAATGTATAATCGCATTTAAAATAGTTTACAAGTAACTTCGTTACGGTCGAATTTACGAATTAATTATTCATTTTTCCATGAATTCGTGCAATAAATTTGATTAAATTATTAATGTTTTTTTTTTATGTAAAACACAGCAGAAATGATTCCGGATCTGATTATTTTTTCTTTTATTTTCCTTGAATTTTTCCTTAAAAACGTATATTTTAATATCGTTACGCCATTCAAAAATACTTTTAACGATTCGCTGGGGTTCGCGATCCATCCGTTAAGACGTTACGCGGTGATATTTTAATGGTGTCACGTCTCAACTTTAAAAATTGAAGATATTTTTTACACCTTAAAGCTTTAAAAAAAACAAAAAAATTCATATTTACTAGAGATTTTAAAGGCGAATCGTTTTTTGAATGTCTAAATCTATTGTTGATCGTAATTTTACGGTTTTGTATGGCAAATAAAGCTAGAAATTGTTACGTTTCTGTCGCGAAAATAAAAATAAAAATAAAAATTGGTCGTATTCACAGTTACACACTCGCCACACGTGGCAATATGCATCACATTGTGATTGATGACAGGTTTTCACTATCAAAAATAATTTTTTTTAGAGTTTTTGAAATAGAAACTTTACGCTATCGAGTTTATTTTACATAAAAATACCTCAGAAACGTCACGTAAACAGTATTTATGCTCACTTTCTCTTATCTCTACTTAGCTATGTGTGTAATCTCATTGGTCACACCATATAANTACAAACTGAATTTTTTCTGAGTTTTTTTTTCGATAGAAATTGAAATTTTTTAGGGAATTTTTTAGATATAAATATCTTAGAGTGGAATGAAATTCGCATACTTTACAATATAGGGAAAAAAAAGAAATTTCTGAGAGTTTTGTTTGCATTTTTTGGGGGAATTTTTGAATTTTTTGGGCAAACTCTAAATATTTTTGGGATATTTTTTAAACTAGAAATCGAACTTTCCAAGTATTTCCACCGAGTAATTCAATAGGAATTGTGTTTTTTGTGTTTATTTGGAAGTAGTTGGAACTAGTGAATTTCTGAAAGAGGTGAAGAATTACGAAAGGAGACATTTTAATGAAATTTCCAATAGATTTAAAACTTCATTCTTTTACTATATGCCCTTATAACGAGTCACGAACTCTCGTAACATATAATATAATAGGAAAAATCAAAGGCAAACTAACACTAGACAAATGTGAAGCCATCAATTCAAATTCCAAACTAGTCGCAGTCATCAGAGCGTGTTAGAATAAGTGATTGAAAGGAAAATGAAGCAAGTTGATGAACATCTTATTAGTATGCTGATGTCGACCTCGACACTCACTCGCTGTAAATAGAGATCCTAACGTTAATTGCACGCCCTGCCGTCACGTGATGCCACTAGCCACCTCTCCTCTATTGGCTTCCGATTATCCACGTGATGTATGATGCAACCACCATGGATACGTGCACGATTAGCATCGTCAAAGAATTCGGGGAAAAGTCGATTTTAAAATTCGTAATTAATTAAAAAAGGGGGTCAAGGGAGGGATAACTATTACACTATTATTATACCGGGTGTAGTATGTGTTTTCTGCTTACGTTGATGGGAAAAAAGATGGGTCGAATCATTCAGAGATATCTGTTGTTGGTGGATAAAGTTTATTACCACCATCAGTTACCTTTGGCCATTACCAGAAGACATAAAACCCGCCATGTCTGCCATCTGGCACCAGCAGACATTACCATTAGGTGTATATGTAAGTCTGTTCATGCATCCGCTACGTTTAGAATCTGCCACCACGCAGATTCGCTTCCACTTTCCTCCATTAAATACGTAAAAAAAAACGGGGAACAGGGTTAAAGGTCATCTTCTTTAGTTAATTAAATTGACGTCAGGAATTGTTGTTGTTATAAATAATTCGAATGGTTCCTCCAAGAGGAGCGAACATTCTCGTGACTTCTGATCATTAAATGTATATAAATCTGTATTTTAGAAATTTCAAAGAAATTTTTAGTTATTTAGTCACGCTTTTAAACTTTTATCAAACTTCATTTATTTAAAATGGGATTTTCATTAGTTCGTTATCAAAAATTTTTTTTCTTCTCCTCCTCTTGGCCAAGCTTTGGCTGTATGTTTGTCTGCCCGTTCGCTCGATTTATCGAATACGAATTTACTTCAAATTAATTTAATGAATTGTTTTTTTTTTATTCTTCTAATCGATGGGTTTTTATGATTAAAAAGCTATTTTGATTTTTATAGCTCTTTGTAGGTTAGACGATGTATATGTGTGTGTATCTGTTTATGTATGTGTGTACGAGTATATTCGATCGTGTGTCTCCGTAAAGCTAAATAGGGTTTCTTATAGAGGTCTTACTAAGGTTTTATAGTGATCTAAATAGGGAACTGAGTTTCCTGTACCATTCTGAATAAGGTTTTATAGCTGTGTGAATAGGGAATTGTGTTTCATATAGTGTTCTGAATAAGGTTTTATAGCTGTGTGAGTAGGGAGTAGGGTAGGAGAATAAAGGAATAGAATTTTATACAGCAATGTGAGTAAGGAGTTGGGTTTCAAATAGCTATCTGAATAAGGTTTTATAGTGATCTGAATAGGGAATAGTGTTTTATAAAGCTATTAGCATAAGGTTTTATACATATTAGTCTGAATAGGGAGTAGGAAAAGGAAAGGAAGGAAATAGGGTTCCTTAAAGCGATCTGAATAGGGTTTTTGCATAAGGTTTTACATAGCAGTCTGATCAGGAAGTAAGGAATGGGGAAACAGAGGAATAGGGTTACACATAGTGATCTAAATAGGAAATAGAAAAGCTCCTAAGCGCCTTCCTAATTTCCTATTAGTTTGATCAGGAGATCGATTAGGTATGATTAAATTTGATCACGTGATAATTAATGTGTGATCATTTAATATATGTAGCTTAAACGTAATCACTCGATAAACACTAAATATAATCACGTGATTAATTATGCATGCAAGTGCTTATATAATTAAGTGAAGAGGAATAAAAGCGATCGTGTGATCACTTAATAAAATAGCTGAATTTGATCACGTTACAGTTTAAAATAGGGATACATTTCGTCACGTGTTTACTTCACACTCGGCTGATTACGAATAGCTGTGACGTGCTATCACTTACTTAATATACTTTTATGGACATATATGATTAATTTAGTCACGTGATCGTTTGAAATGTGTTAGAAAATGCTAAAATTCAGCTAAATCAACGTACCTTTGGCCAAATTTCGCCATATTTTATGGAATTTTCCAAATGTTTAATCACCGGAAGTAACGGTTTTTTTTTATAAAACTGCAGAAAATAGTTACACTAAATTTACGTTTATTGCTGTTATTTTCTATTATAAAGGTCAGGTGATCCTATAAATTCACCTTATATAAGCCCAGGATAGTAGATCTTTACAATCATTTTAAATGTAGCGTAACCACTCTATCAAACTTAGAAGAAACGTAACCGAACGTAACTACTGTTTAAAATTCAAAACGTATACTAAAACTCAAGACAATTGTTTTGTAAAATTTAAATGGCACGTAACTATTGAAATAAGAGGGCGTAACCACTTCTCTGAAACTCAATTAAAATGTAACTACTTAACATAACTTTATCGAAAAATATAGTACATAAATTATCTCCCTAACGTAACAACCGTCTAAAATGAAGGCATATTATTAACTAATGTATACGGTAAGCGTAACTATGTTACGTTAAGCTATATTAAACGTAAACGAACATTGTAGAAAACAAACTTTGAAATTCAGTAGGAAACGTAACGACTGTATGTAATAAAGTGTAGTCACTTTCTGAAATCTCTGGAACGTAACTACACTTTAAAATTCAAAAAATATACTATTTACAACTATTAACTACTACACACGAAGCGTAACTACTATCTATAATGAAGAGCGACGTAACCACGTTTTATAATTCAGTAGCAACGTAACTACTATCTAAAACGGGAAGCGTAACGGTCGTATAAAGCATGGTTCCTTTCTAAAATTACTGTCTATCGCTATCAACCACCGAAACGTAACTACAATCTATAACCGACAGAGAGCGTAACCACGCTGTAAAACTCAGTAGCAACCACTTAAAACTCGAAAGGAACGTAACTACTGTATAAAACTATAGACGAAGGGAACGTAACCAACCTCTTAAACTTAGAGTAACGAGTTACTTTAACCCTTCTATTAAATGCAAATGGGGGATCTTCATCTCATTG